GTAAATACATATTTATTGCTTTACACACATATCCTTGCAAAGGGCACAGCCCACATATGTACACGCATTTATCTTTGTACTTTACACGTGTGAATTTCTTATTTTCTGAGGACATCTTAACTGGAAATAATGTCTGGAAGTGGATGGGCTGAGAAGCCTTTGATGAGCAAGTGGTTATTGTTAGTTTCAGCAACAAGAGCAGTCATCAGTTAGGGAGAGTGCCACTACAATTGAATAATGATGAGTTTTAGTATTTCTGTGCACAGAAAAAGGCTGGGTTGACTGAGCTTTAAAAACCAGTATTCTGCAAATGTTTTATCTGCATAGTGAAATTTCTTTTCTTGATCTGGCTTGGAAAAAAATCAGATGCATGCAAGATTTCAAGTGTCTCTGAAGCATTTGTTAGGGCTTAATTTGATTACAGACTTAACAGAAGTTTTCAGAGCCAATTTTGTTCCTTTAGTAGTCTTTTGGTTTATTCTTTTCAGATCTAGTGATTAACATTCTGATGAACAGCCTTGTAACAGGTGGTAAACTAATATTTTTGGCAGCACAAGTCAATTTGGTATATAAGCAATCATTTAGATAATAAACAAAGTCAAAATCATTGGGTAAATCATTGGGTTTGTGGAAGTGAGATTCCACTGCAGTGGATGAAAAGGCAGCAGGAACACTTCATAAGGACCAGCTCCTCAGGGAAAGAGATACCAAGTGGACTTTGCATGTTGTAAGGTCCAGGTTCTCTTTTCATTAAAGCATAATCTTCCTTTTCTTTTTTATTTTCTATTTTTTTTCTTAAATGTGACTTCAACATATGATTTCATTACTGTTTCATTCACTCAAAGTCCTATTTAGAGAAGTGGGTTCTTAATGTATCATGTGACATTTTCAATACATTTCTAGGAGATCCATCTGCAATTATGTGTCCTGGCCCTCCTCTATATTAATCCTAAAAAGAAAAGGTAATTGGGTTAGTCTAGTGATTTGCCCTTTACAGATCCACATGGGCCCAGAGGCTTTCTGTGGTAAATTTACAACAGGTATCTTCAGAGGACTTCTAAATACAATTTCTAATACATACTTTTATTTCTACAATAAAAATCTCTTTGAAAATAATTTCTTGATTTTCTTTGTTGAAACAGAAAGGAAAACTCATGCTTTAGAGATTTTTTAAATACTTTTCTCCTTTTATAACAGTAAGAGGATTGAAAATATAGCTGGATGTGAGGTCAGGTCTTTTTGCTGTCAATATCTTCATAAAAGCAAGTGCACGTTCATTTTGGTTGTATTAACATTTTGGATACTTGTGTTGTCCAGCCCATTCATTCTTTGAGGCTGGACTGACATGATGGGACGTGCTACAAGGTGTTATTTCTGATGTGAAATTGTCCAAGAATAAAATGATTTTCCAAGTCCCATGACCATATCTCACCCCTTGCCATGTTTTCACTGTGGTCATTTGTGTGTCTTTTGGGACTGCAAGACAGGAAGGGATGAGTCAATGTTCCAGCTTTGTGAGGAATATTTCACTCACAGAACTCTCATAATCTTCTTTGTTTGAGAAGTTCATTGAAAGTAGCACAACTCCTACAGCAGCTATGCACAGGAGATGGGGACGAAAGAGTGGAAGAGAAGGGTGTATATACATGGTGCTTGCCTCTGAATATTCACCTACTCTTCAAATTAGACTTATTTTCTGTCTCTTAGTCCCCATCCACTGGCGCTGGGGGCTGTGGCCACACAGCCCAGTGTGGCTCTCGCCATCAGGCCATTCCTTGGGTGGCAGGAGGGAGCTGAGTTCCAGATTTTGGTGACTACACTTGACACTGTCACAAATCCAGGCAGACAGACAGATTTTCAGACTTTACCTCCAGAATTTGTGCTACCTTGGAGGTACAAACCAACTGGAAATCCTGCAGATCGGACCAGTGGAGATTTTTTCATGCTGAACAGAGAAGGGAGCAGCTCCACAGTTCAGCTGAGCTGCAGTGAGCTTTGGCTGCCAGACCTGCCCAGCAGGCTGGACTCATCTCCATAGTAGGGTAATGGCTCCAAAAGGTTTAAACACCTTTGTTCTCCCTCTCTGGACGTATTTTGGCTGTTGCTGAGGATGTGGCTGCCTCAGATAAAAAGATCACAAGTTTGCATTGTTCTTAACTAGCTGCATTTCTCTGTAATTGTCTAATTCAAAGCAGGCTTTGCTCACTTTTGTGCTCTCTGTACAAGCCACGATGATGATAGGATTTCTGAAATCAAAGCTGAGCACTGAACTGAATTAAGAGAGAAAAAGCTGCACTGCCAAGATCGGGAGAGCAGAGAATAATTGTGGAGGATCCTCCCAGCTGGTTTGGCAGTGGTAATGAGGGAATGGTTTTCTTCTATCAAACTTGTTTTATTTTTATTGCAAAATAAACATTTTCCGGGCATTGCATGGCAATTACTCACTCTGCCCCTCCAGGGATGAGGTCGCACCAACTGCACATCACAGAGGAAGGCAAAACTTTCCCATTTACATTAAAACTTACATCAAACAAAGTGAACATCAGTGGAGCTTCGTGTTTGCTCCTCTTAAGGCTGGCTCACACTATTTCTCAAAACACTATGTCTGCATTAACAGATTGGGCTTTAAACTTTGATTTGGCTGCTCTTCAACTTTTTGCCCCAGTACAGCAATAAAGTTTATTCCATATTCCTTTACCTTCTTTTCAGGAAAATTTGTTTGCTGGGGCAGGCCAATCCATTCAATAATTTTGGGTATGGTATTACAAAAAGTTAAAAACAGGGTAGTAAATTTATTAAAAAAATACTGCTTATTAGCTAAGGTCATCCACCATGGCAGAACATAACAAAAAGAGTAATTAAATAAGCTATTGGAAAAATAGTGTGAAATTGAGCCTAAATGAACAGTTATCTTTCAGGCTGATCTAAATTTAAACTGCCCAGCCCTGCACACAGACAGAATGATTGTAAAGTCAGAAATATGTGATTGCTCAGCTCCTTGGGATTATCCTTCCAAAATATCTTCAGCTAATACTGAAAATAATCAAGCGATACCAAAACATTTGGTAAAAAATTAAGTTTTCCATGAAGCAACAGCTGCCCAGTTAACAATTGTCTCTTGCTTCACAGGAAGAAAGAAAAGTACTTTAAATGCCACTTCAGGGTGACTGGTTTGCTAATGCTGCTTAAGTAATGGTTACCATTTCACTTTTATTGTGCTCTTGTTAATTAAGTCCCACAATTAAAGAAAATAGAAATTCAATAAGAGGAAATAGAGTTCTTAAGTTATTAAATGCTATACATCTGTGAAATCTGGCTGAGAAATAAGGTTTCAATACTTGATTTAGTATTCATTAGTTTTTTTATTAAGTTTTAGAAACCAAAAAAAAAATCTTCTTTGACCTACATAGCCAGGATAAACCTATTCTAAATGTTGTTGAAGATAAAAAAAAAAGAAGGAGAAATACTGTCTGCATGTTCAACCTAAAATGTCTGTGAGATCAGCTCAGTTGGTCAGAGCATAGTGCCAGTAACACCAAGGTCATGGCTTTGAACCCTGTATGGGCCATTCACTTAAGAGCTGGATCTTTGTGGGTCCCTTCCAACTTAGAATATTTAGTGATGTGTGTAAATCTTGGCCCTGGACCATACCTGACTCACAGCTACCCATCATGTTCGCTGTTTGTGGCATCTTTGGTCATCCAGGCAGAGCCACTGCTGGGGCTTGGTTACAGCTCCAGTTCAGTTTCCTGCTCCACTGCAGGAGTCTGTGAAATCTGAGACAAGAAAGCAGGCATCTATTGAACACTTCAACAGAAAATCCTAGAGGAGCTGAAGTGTCTAATTAAGCAACAGTTTTTCTTTCACTTTGTTGATCAGACAGGTGTGTTAGCCTATTTATTATCCAGGCTGTTAATCTATAGCTCTGCAGATTGCCAGCAGTGGGGTGACAGCAGTGGGATGCTATTTGAGAGCACGGCAGTGACCCAACACACATGAACTTTGGGTGTTTTGTTCTAGTACTGTTTTATTTTATTTTCCTGAAGGTTACATAGGATAAACATTTAGTCTCAGTAACATTTGAACAGGGGCCCAGTGAAATGGACTTCTTTTGCCAGTATGAATGAATTATATTAAAAATTGTGCTTGGATAGCACACACTGAAAAGCCATGAAATTATTTTCCAGAAAGCTCTTCCAGCTTTCTCCATGGCTAAAGGCACTCTTTTACTTCCACATTCTTCAAATTCCAAAATTTACTTTGTTTGTATATTACTGAACTTTTTAGCTAAATATTTCTGATTTGGACGCTAAGGACATGTATCAGTTGTATTATCTGGCTGCGTCTCTGACAAAAGCTGAAATCCACATCAGCTTACATTTCTTGCATTCCACTTCTTTTTGACTATTAGAGATGACTGACAAATAAAAAAAAGTAGTGAGCTTATTTTTTTCCTCCCCTGTGATATATGAAACTGTTCTCTTTGCATTAGAAGTTCAGACTTAATCTGTCTGTGGAAATGCTACAGGTTGCTGTAGGAATGAAAAATTAAACTCAGCAGTACCCAGAAACAGGAAATTATTCTTATCCCACTGGGTTTGCAAGTGCAAAGCCTGATGTATAGAACAACTGTTCCTTAAAATCCAGTACCATGGAAATTGCACCACATATTGCTTTCTGTTTCATGTGTTGTTATTTGATTCAGCTCTGTTCACGTCTTTTTTATTCCAATTTTTTAAGAGTAACGGTAAGTGAACTGTGAAAGTGTGTGTGATGTTTCCATGACTAGTCCAAATTTAGTTATAAGGTTTTAGCACCTGTTTTACTGGAGCATTGTAACTGATATGAACAGATAGAAACGGATGCAAAAATGCAATTTTGAGTGCATCAGGCTAAGCTGTACTAATCAATATTTAAACATGAAAATGACAAAGATTTTATTATTCCTGCAGAGGTACAAACAGATCTTGCAAAGTTAAATGTTAATCTATCTTTCTTAGGTCTGTGAGAGTTCACAAGATTGGAATATTGCACTCACAAAGTACAAGTAAGTAAAAATGTCAATTTAAAAAAGAAGTGATTTTTTAGCCTGTATGGAATATCTATGCTATGTTGACTTTGAGTAACAATTTTCCAAGCTACATGAGACCACATCTAGTTCCAACTCCCCTGCCATGGGCAGGGATGCCTTCCACTGGGCCAGGCTCCTCAAAGCTCCATCCAGCCTGATCCAGCCTGGCCTCTTCCTCATTGGCAGTTACTGCTTGGTAAACAGGGACAAATGCACAGAAGTCCTCAGCTTTCCTATGCTGCCTGTGAGCAGCACTAAATGGTCTCCCCACTGCTAGGTTTCTTTGCCCTGCAAAGCTGCTTCATTCCTTATGTGTCCACCCCGACCCCCTGTGAGCCTCTTTGTCACTGCCCTGTCACTGCCTTGTCACCGCCTGCATCACTTTGGGGTCTGCCCTGCTCTGCTGCCCACACCATTGCATTGCATTGCTAAAAATACTGACACAGCACAGATCGTAAGAGAGACACATTTTTAATCTTGGGCGTGTCCATTGATTTCTCTATAAATATTTGAGTTAAAATTTAGAGTAGTACCAATCCAAACACTTTGGAGAAATTCAAATAAACTGCATCAGTCAACATGGTTGCCTTTATCAACAAGAAATGTCATCTTCTCCAAAACAGAAATGGTTTGTTTGACAAGATCTCTGCTCCTTGAAACCCTACACGCCTGTGCTGGTTCTGTGTTACTCTCACAATATTTTTTTTTAGACACAATATATTCCATTATTTTGCCTGGGTAGGGAAGCAATGTAGCAATTCCTGGGTAGATTCTCTTCATCTTTTTCAGTCTTGGAAAAATAAGAATGTATCAAAGCCAGGCAAAATGTCAATGTGTTTATTCCTAAAGTATTAATTTCAGTCATTCCCCAGCCTTTAGGACCCTCTGGGGTAAGTTCTTTGGTCCTTTTGATTTAAGAAAATTTAATTTTAGTGGATTCTGGCTTGAATCTTCCTTCATGAAAGATTATTAGCTTTTCAGTGTATATAGGTCCTATGAGTTCAGTTCTCCCACTCTGTTCTGAAGGCAAAAGCATCTATTGAACCACAGTCCTTTTGTCTGAGTTCCTTTTCTTCCTAACACATTTTATATTCCCCATTGTTAATGCCATTGATGACTGAATATTCATCAATTTCTTTATCTTTTGTCTATTTTATCAGTTGGCTCCAATTTCAATTTGTAACTCAACATCTTGCTATTAACTTTCCTTTTATATTCAAACCTAATTTTTTCACTTCTGTTGTTCTGCTTAGAGCTCCTAACCAGGATGTTTTTGTGGCTAGAATAACCATTTTTTCCCCTTCCCTTTCTGGATAGTCAGTCTGGGTGCATCCAGTAGTATGTCCTTGAGCAATTTCCAGCTTTTGCTAATATTTCCCACTTCAAATAATGTACATTTCCATGGCAATGAATCAGGAACTGACAGACAGAATTAAAACCAGTGTTCAGCCCTCCTCAAATTCGTAGGAGAAGTAATGGAATAAACAATGTCAGAATAATTTAATACTGAGAGAAGTAATTGAATTATAGCGCTTTTGTGTACATAATGTCAAAATGCATAAAAGAAACTAAGAAACCCATATGTGGAAAGGAAATACAGATTTTCAACAAAATCAGTTTCAGAACATGCAATTTTCCTACAAAATTCCCTGTTTTGTGAATGCAGACAATTACTCACTTTCTTGCATAAGACACAGCTGACGGCTTGATGCTCACCCTCGGATGGAGCTAAAGCACAATGCTCAGTCTGTACTGCTGCACCTGGGGTTTAGTGCCCAAAGATCTTGGAAGAACTCTCTTTTAGGATGTGATGAGTTACCCCTGGATCTGTCTTCCCAGTGAACTTCACTCTATTTTATGTTGTTTTATTCTACTTTCCCTAGCTAGCCCAGTTTAGGTGCGTTCAGTTGGCCATCTGCAGGGAATGCTGCAATGGAAGGTGGCACAGGGCCACTGGGGCTGGGGACTGCCAAGCCACACGGTGCCTGAGCACAGCAACAAGCTCACAGCCAGACTGGGAGGAAACTTGGGTGTAAAGCTCAGGGAACTTGTTCTGTGTCCTCCAGATTCTCAAGGAATCTCCCCAAATCTGGAGGTGCTGAAATGCCTTGGGATGCACAAAAATGAGGCTAATGCATGTCAGGAGGCTTTGGCACAGCTGAACTAAAGGCTTAGGAATGTCACTGATGCCACTGATGTTGGTCCAGGAAGCCAGAGACATGTAGGGTCCATGCTTCTGCCACTTTGGTCCTTGAGGCAGCCTTTAGCTTTGGGCTATGTCATGGCTGGTACCATGAAAAATACAGGAAGCAGAAAGGGTTCATGATAATTTGTACATAGCAAGTGCTCTCATCTCAGGATTCAGGATACAAATTCTAGCCTGAGAAGGGACCTGAGGGATATTCTTCAATTCCTCAAGGATGTCCCTCCACACCTTGCAACATGCCGGTCACCTGAGGTGCGTATTACAGCCATGCATGGGAATTTTATCTGGGAATGTCACCTTGTCCTCGTGGTCACCTCCAACACAGCAGAGGCCTAGTAAGCTGGGGTATGGGAAACTGCCCCAAAAGCACACCCACCACCTCCCCAGCAATTTAGACACTCTTTTTATAATTTCCAGTGAAAGTCCAGGCATTTTTCCTCTTCTGCGCTCTCTTTGGAAATGAGGAAATACCTTCATAAAGGCAAAGGCCACATATTGCTGAAAGGAGACAAAATAGGAGGTGTGGAGATTAGAAAGCCTAGAAATGAGAGTTACCTAGATTGTTAGAGAGCAAGAATCGTCCTTTGCTTGAATGGGTCTGCATGCTGTGAAGCAGCTTGGGAGGAAGAGGCGCTACTGTGGGGTAAACACAGAGCAGAAATTATGGATTACACCTGGTAACCCTGTGCTCAAAATGGGACAGAAATATCCCAGGCTCTTGGGAGAAAACCAGAATATTACCTTTGCAAAACCTTTGAAAATGCCAATGTTTTTGAGGAGTGTTCATGGTTAAAATCCTATTAAGAACAAAATGCTTTATTTCCTCTTGGAATTTATACTTTAGGGGATATCTCAGACTTTTTTCTCTATTGCTGCATTCTATTACTACTACTGAGATTAAACTGGCTTAATTTCTTTTAACAGAGACTATTACCTGCTTGTATCTTGTTATGTCAGCCTTTCTGTAAATATTTACTGATGTTTGATAGCTTTCCAGAGTAATGCTTTCCTTTCTATAATATGCATCTGATGAGGAAAAAATTCTAATTCTTAAAGAAGAGTGTGTTAATGTATTTAATGATTTTATAATTTTTCCTTGCTATTTTAGTTTTATAGTGAATTGAAGTCCCTAATTTAAATATTTTGCTACACACAGAAGAAATGCCACAATCATTAGTGTAATGTTCATGATCCATATCTTATTTTCTGGTAAAGTGTATGACAGAAAGTCATAACAAAGTGAGCTATTTAATCAATGTACCAAATATATGGATGGGAAAGGTGAGCACATACTTTCAAGACCCTGAGAATTTTCTCTGTATCTTGTGCAGAAGTTCCAGGCAACCCCCCCACTCTGTTCTTAGGGAAGTTTTGAGGCATACCAAACCTGAAATGCATACTGTAGATTCTCAAAGGCAGCACCAATTTCACTAATGGCAGACACTTTGTTTTCAGGTTTTCCTAATACTTTAAGAACCAGAGACTACATTAAATACTATGTACAACTTGTGGCTGCAAGCCAAAAGGAAGCCCACATGACATTTAGTGCCCTTGTCTGCGAGCTGATAAAAGAGTCTGGATTCTCTAAACTCTTTAAGTGCTCAGTGTCAAGCTGGAATTCGGTAACTGCAGCCCGGACAACTTATGTTATTTAAAAATGCACACTTAGCTCTAAGAGGTTTCCAAGCACTCTAATGCTGGGGTATTTGAACAGAGTAATAGGGTGCTTTTAAAAAAGCTTTTTATTTTGCAACTTTATGTTCTTCATCTTGTTCAGATATTGTTTACTTTAGAATTAATCTGATAGACTCAAAATTAAACATGCTACCCAATATAATGGGACAGGGCTTTGACAAGCCTCAGGAGACTAAAAATGTTTGAAGTGCTTAGACTTTACTATATCACAAAGTAAATTTTGCACAGTTTGAGTATGTGCTCTGGGGTCACATAAAAATACTAAACAGAATTATTCCTATCCGGTGATTTGAGTTACCCAGATCTGCCAATTTGTAATGTGCAGATGAACCTGTGTGCTTGCTCCTGCCAGGAGCTCCAGAGCTGTATAAAATTGTGCTGAAATCCCTGTGCAGAAAAGTCCCAAATGTCACTGTAGCAGGCTCTACAGTGATAGGAACTAAATTGCCTGATCTTTGTCTTGTTTCTGAATAAACCAGTACAGCTCCTAACCCACTGCAGGCACCTTGCTTGAAAGGAAATAATGCTTTTTAGCAACTTTCCTCTTCCTCTGTCACTGTGGAACCATGGCAGAGCTGGGGGATCATGGCCTCTTAGTAAGATTTTGCAGAGTCCTGCACTGCATCCTTAATTCTTTTAGTTAATTAGCATTTAAGTGAAACATGCTGTGCCTGTGGCATGGACTGAGCATCTTCCACAATCTTCCAATGAATTAATGGAAAACTGAATTTCTGAGAAAACGAACTATTTTTGTGTCTGGCTCTACAGCAAGAGGAGAATTCACAGCTAAAATTAAAAATAAGGCACCCACTGAGACTGAGAACAATTTAATTCTTAATGGAATTCCTGAATTCCTAAATCCTGCACCTCTAGGGAGCTGTAATGGATATGCTTTGTATCTCTGCAGAGGGTTTTCTGTCAACAAATTTATCTCCTTCTCCTGTCCCACACCAGTGAGACCTGAAGCACAAGGGGAATTCCTCTGGCTTAACAACAGTATTTTTAGGAAAATGCAAAATGGGAGAGGATTACAAATTACTTTGCTTCCACTGTAGTAGCATCCAGTGCACTGTCT